GTGGGAAATTGTAAATAAGATGACACAAAATTTTGAAACCACAAACACACAGAAAGTTTGGCAGAACTCGTGTATTCTTTAGAGCTTTTTGGGAAGCATTCCTCAAAGGATGGAAACAGAAGAAAATCAGGAGCAGGATCAACTGTGTGCTTCCGTTGCTCAGGTTTTTCTGTATTGGTAGTAGGGGGATCAAAGGTTAACGTAGCTTTGGGGCATGAAAAAAAAGTGTACCATATGTCCCTTCTCCGTGCACTACCAATATGCTCAGTCACATCTATCCCAAGCAAGAACGAACTGTTAGGAAACTTCAAGGGAGCAGAGTTATTCCCATTATTTCCAACAGCTGATGTCAAAGTAGTTAGCATAACAGCCATCTCTGGAAGCACGATCAGGATATCGAACAAGATAGTCAATATCTAACTAATTAATTCCATATACATGAATCAAATTAGGAGGTTTGAAACTATAATCTGAAGAACAAAAGAAACCAGAAATGTGATGATTTTGATCATATAGTGTAGATGAAATATCTAACATATCATTTTAACTGTCTTTGATGCATATAATTTCTCAACCATTAATCAGAGCGTAGCCACACTTTACACTTTTACAACATTTAACATAACCAAGCATTTCACTTCCTCAATTCTAATATAATATATATTTTTTACTTTTGAGTTCATGGCATGAAGCCTTTTGTGTTGAATTTACTAAATGATATATTTACTCTACAAATTGGACTTTCTTTTCTTGCAATCTAGAAGAACCATGGGTCCTTGACATATGCGTTCATGTTTGGGGGTCTAATTGTGAGCCGAATCTGAGCTTGATAGTTCCTCTTTGACTATCACTGCCATGCACGATAGAGTACGAAATATCAATTAGTATCTTCTAATGAGGCCACCATTCTCATTACACTTAAAATCAATAGGTTTGCCTACTTAGATAAGTTAACAAAACCCATTGTCCAAACTCTACGTTAGCAAGAAACTTCCAAATTAATAGTAATGATGTCTGGAGGAAATTATTTGAGCTTCAAGCTAGATCAACAGGCTGAATGACACTCTTTATAAAGAAGAGTTAGTTTGATCATCCTACAAAGTAACAAAAGAAGTAAAAGGCAAAAAACTAAACAGAGCTGACTATGCTGAAATAGATGCTTATTCTTGATGATACTGTGAGCCACTATATCATCTAAAGATAACCTTGTAAATCCACGGTAACATAGTAGAAGTTGAAATCAAATTACATCTCGTGGTTTTCCCCCTTCACATTGAAATTTGTTCACTTTAAAAACAGCATATCACTTGTGTTGATTTACTTCCTTATTTCAACTTGGATTCGAGTATTATTATCATTGACTTGGTAGCTATGTAGATCTTTTCCCACTTGAAAGAATATTACAACTGCTTTATAAGTTTGGCCAGGAATCAGGGTTGCATAATTTAGGGAACAATGGACATATTGGAATTTGATTGAGAATCTCACTTTTTTCATACCAAGTGTATAAAGTTTTTTATTGCTGTTTACTACTACTAACTGTTTTTTTTTCCAACAATTATTCAGTAACCGACCAAAAAAGTAGAATCCAAAATTCACCATTTATAAATATTCAAATCCATATATATCTCATATGAATCACAGAATCAGGGAATAATAATCAGGAAACTAATCCAAATAAACAGCTGAACTTCATTCACTCAAGTAAATCCAAACATAATACTTAAAATTTATAGCAAAAAGGCACAACGACAGAAAGAGCGCGTAAACAAAAATCAAAAGGATGTGGATAATTTCTGAAAATAATTGGTATACGCAGAGAGAAGATGAAAAGCCAGTGTCTCAGGGTTTGTCTGGGGTTCTTTTGTTCGCCAGAGGCTGAAACTTGAAAAACGCATAATCTCCGCAGCAACCAACGCAGCGTACTGGGCACAACTGCCATTGCCCCAAAGCTTCTCGCCGTGTGCCAGAGGGATTAGAAAAAGGGGTAATTACAAAAATACATGTTTTGTAAAATCATATCAAAGGTTTTTAGAAAATAAAAATTGCTGGGTAAGATTAAAAAGTGATGCAATGCCACTTTTATAATAAAAATTGAAAAAAATGACACAAACTCAAAAAGTGACAAAATTCAAAATAGTACTATCTATTTGTATAATACTAGTAATCACGTTCTTAAAATAATCAACACGCCCAGACCAATTCATATGATGATTATGTTAGGAAAATATAACGTATTATTTCATGTTTTATCTTCTTAAAAAGTGAAAAAAA